AAAAAAAAAAAAAAAAAATTGTATTAAAACTTATAAAGTACTTCCTGTGTGCCAGGCACTATTCCAAGCTCTTTACAAATAGCAAGTCATTTTGTCCTTATAACAATCCCTGGAGATGGGTGACTGTACCTCCCTTTTATAGATACGGAAACGATCCCAGAAAAGATGAGGGACTTGGCAGGCTGCAGAACAAGTTCTGCTTTCTTTCCAACATAAGGTCCCCTGGTGGCAGTGGGATCCTGCCCGGGTTGAGTCTCCTTTTTTTTTGCTTCCTAGGGGACCTGGAGCTATAATGTGGGGAGAGGACCCTGGGGATTCAGGGAGAAGGCACTTTCATCTTTGAGCTGCAAACCATTTGTGGTGCCATGTGGAGGGCTTGGTGGGACCCTTGCCATCCTTGCCTGGGTGTGAGCCCCACTGCATGGTGGGTGAAGAAATTGAGGCTTAGAGGCTACATCCCTTCCCCCATCCTCTGGAGAGAGGCAGCTCTGAGGCTCATCTGAGCCCACACCGCCACCTCCCTGCCCATTCCAGTTCCTTGCTGGGCACCATGGGGTGAGGACCCAATACATGTTAGGTCTTTAATATCCCTCAGTGCTCAAAGTGCTCATCAGTGATGGCTCATCAGCATAGTTGTGCAGGGAGAGGCCAGGGCCTGAGTGCTGGCCACCATGGCCTTCCTAGCTTGCATCTGCCTGACCTGCCATGTCCTTCCTCTCCACAGGGAACTTCTAATGGATTGGGGTCCATAGATGACATCGAAACAGGTAGTGCCTCTGATGCAAGGGGACAGGATGGAGATGGGGCCCAGGGGAGGGCTCAGCCCTCACACCTGAGGTCCCTGGGAGGTTAGGTGGATTGAGCCCCTCTCCATCCCAGCCCTGTAGATGGGTTCTCTTGAGGGGCTACTTGCCCTAGGACTCCCCGAACATGAGAGAAAACAGTGGGTTGAGAACCACAGACCCCCCTCAGCAAGAGGAGAGCATCTGTAGCCTGGAGAGGGTGGGTGCTGCCTAATAATGGGGTGGCGACAGTTCTGTGGACTTCATCCCAGGCCCACTCCTACTTCTGGAAGTCCACCTTTTCCGAAGTTCTCCATTCCCTATCTTTTCCTTGTTGGCTTCCAGGAAGGGTTGCATTTTAAGAATGTCCTTGGAGGCCAGGCCTGGTGGCTAAGCCTGTAATCCTAGCACTTTGGGAGGCCGAAGCAAGTGGATTGCCTGAGCCCATGGGTTTGAGACCAGCCCGGGCAACTTGGCGAGAACTTATCTCTACAATAAATTTTTAAAAATTAGCCGGGTGTGGTAGTGCATGCCTGTAGTTCCGGCTACTTGGAAGACTGAGGCAGAAGAATCACCTAAGCCCAGCAGGTCAATGCTAGGATGGCTGTGAGTGTGCTCCTGCTGGGTGACAGAAAGAGACTCCAACTAAAAAAAAAAAAAAATGC